TATTCCAAAAACTACATCAATATAGTTTGGCTTTGCTGACGACTGGGCACTAACCATCGATGGAAGAAGCCTCAGTAAAATCGATGAAAAAAGCCTCAGAAGCTATAACTGAGGATCTCGAAAGGGAATATTTTTTCAAAAATGGAGACTCTAATCTAACGCTTCGAAAACCGAAATGTCATGTTTCCATTTAAACAACAATATAGCCGAGAGGAAACTGATATCTACTTCGCTAACACATTAATTAATCAAAACGGAAACGATAGAATATGTAAGATGCGTACAACGTATGCATAGAATATGTAAAATGTCTAGATGTTTATTTGTGATTTTCTTATGTTTGTTATATATAATTTTTTTAATGTGTCGTAATTGATAATATACAGGGTGTACCAGATATAAATGCAAGTATTTAAAGGGTTCTCGATAAAAGAAACGTATGTTCTCTTTATCGTTTTTCAAATAAGTCCAAAATAACGGAGTTATTTTACTTTAAAAATTTCCAAAAAAAATGTTTTGCTAAAATTTTAAGAACCACTGGATCTTTTCTGGATTTTCTTTCTTGTAAATTTGATCTAATATCTATGTTGCCATATTATCAAGAAATTATATTTTTCTATTAAAAACTAAAAAAAATTTCCAAAGAATTTCGAATTTTCAATTTTTTTTCGCGAAAAAAACCTCATAGGCCTGTTTCTGTGGTTGAACTATACTTCCAGTTAAAATAGTTGCACTTATTTCTGGGACACCCTGTATAATATAAGTTCATATTTTTCAGTGTTAGGAGTTCATCCGTATTATTTTGTCTTTTTAAATATATTATAAATTATTGTTAGACTGACTTTGTTTATCTTTTTAATTTATATTTTCTGCTACTTTTTTCTGTGTCATGTTAATTAATTTATTGAAAATAGACATGTATACGTATTATTTTTTAAGTATAGCTTAGAAACTTTATATTTATATTTGTATTTTAATTAGAAACAAATTTCCACAAAGGAATCGCCTTAACTTCATTTTAAATCCCAAAAGATGCCAATAATACTAATCTATATAATATACAGGGTGTCGCAGAAGTAAGTGGAAGTATTTTAATTGGTAGTATAGTTTTACCCCAGAAACACGCCTGAGGTTTTTTTTGCGAAAAAAAAATTTTTGAATTTTGGTTTGGTTTGGAATTTTGAATTGAACTGTTTGAATTTTGAAAATGAAAATTGAATGATTTTGAATTTTTTTTTTAGTTTTTAGTTAAAAACATAATTTCTTGATAATATGGCAACATAGGTATTAGATTAAATTTACAAGAAAAAAAATCCAGGAAAGATCCAGTGGTTCTCAAAATTTTATAAAAAAATATTTTTTTTTCGTAAATTTTCAAAGTAACATAACTCCGTTATTTTGGACTTATTTGAAAAACGATAAAGAGAAAATATGTTTCTTTTATCGAGATCTACCACCCCTTAAAATACTTGCACTTATTTTTGGGACACCCTGTATAAAAACGATATGCACTCCCTGACTCATCACGATATCTCGAAAATTACACGGCAGATTGAGCTGAAAATTAGTATAGTCATAGTATATATATAAGAACGGATTTTGATCAAATCCCATACAAAGTATAGTTTTTTTTTTAATTTTTCGGAAAATTATGAAAAACTTTTTCTAGCCGCCATATAAAATTCCAAACAATTTTTTGATAGTTTGTTATTAACGTGGAGTAAGAAAACATTTCAATATTATTTTTACTGTACGATGTGTAATAAACTAATTCCAGTTCAATTAGATAGTTTAATAACGGCTTCTACTATGATAACGGTTAGGTCATAAAACGGTCATAAAAAATACATTTTTACAAATAAGTAGGTAAATACAAACGTAATTACTTAAATTTATAAAAATATCTAAAAAAATTATAAAAATGGCAAAACTAACAAATACCTACGTCAACAATTATTTTGATTGATGGTAAATATGGTTGATTTAAATTAAAAAAAAACATCGAAATCATTAATATCGAAATTAAAAAAAATATATTTCTTTTAATGAAGCGACCAGCAACCTTGAGGCCTTGCAATAACTCTTTTGTCGAGTTTAGCCATATTGTTACATTAATAACTTTAATATTGTAAAATAGAAACATTATAAGAGATGGGTTCCCATCAAATCCATCTTAATATTTATAGGATACGGGGACAGATAAAGAACCCAAAATGAAGTTGTTTCTTTGTAGGTATATTATTCAGATTTTTCACCATTATCACAGAATACGCTGAGCAAAATTGTAAAAGAATAGAAATAAATTGAAAAAATCAGAAGTTTACAGATAATGTTGTGTACGAAAACTAGAAAACTGAAACAAGAACTGCATTGTGTGTAAACTGTGTTGTATTGAACGTTCAAAAACATTCTAATGACCAGACGACCCGACCCAATAAATTGCAATAGAAAAATAAATTAGTTAGTATTCTGTAATATGGATACTTAAGCATCCACAAGTTCATCCGTATAAATTGCAGATTGTACAGGGTGTCCCATTTTAGTTGAAATCATACGGTATCTCCGTTATTAGGAAAGATAGGAGGATGCGGTTTGCACAAACCTGTGCCACTTTTTTGTCAAACGGAAGATGCTGTCAACAAAATTTTCATAGCCCTCTTCGTTTCTGAGCTACAGGGTCTTTTCGAAAATTTTGCAATTTGGGACAGATCTCGTATCTCCGTTATTATGGATGATATTGAGAAGGTGAAAACTAATTCTTGTAAAACGTTTTATTACGTAGAATACAGCGGCGTAGTCGATTTTTCAAAGAAAAAAATATTTTTGAAAATATGAACTAAAGTTGTATTTTTTCAAATGGAACACCCTGTATATTTATAAATCATATGATCGGCCTTGCTATGAGCTTCTCAAAAATATATATCACTCTATATTTATTTTCACTATTTACGGCAATATTTAAAATATATCATATTCTTATTAGTAGGCCGTGATAAATAACAAAAAATCAAAATGGTATTTACTAAAATAGTCGTACACTTATTAAAATTTTGTTTGGAATTTATATATTTTACTTTTGAACTGTTACCACTCAATCTCTGAATATATTTTTCTTTTTTTCTTAACGGAATTTATTATAACGGGATGGGGTTTGCAAATATCTAAAAGATTGCATTATTAGCTTGCTTTATTAAATAATTTTCCAGGTGTTCGACATTGTGGTAGTTGCCACGATATATTTCATATTTCAAAAATCCCCAAATCAGAAACCGAGAAAGGACAAATCGAGGACTCAGGGTGACCATCATATGGGTCCAATGGTTCCAACTATTTACTGATTTGAGAAATAATAATTTAACAAAATTCTAATATTTTCGTTGTAAGTTATGTTGTGAGTTGGAGTTCCATCTTGGCTGAAAGTATATTTCACTTAAATTAGCCAAAGGAATATTTAAAAGTTCCGATACGATTTACAAATAGCGGTAGAAAGTTAAGTTTTCCTAATATATAAAGAATTTATTAGTGACTCTCAAAATAAAACAAGAGACAGATAGGAGTATACTTTTAATAATTCTTTAGTTTCTTTTATTATCAATCATGGCCTACTAATATAAATATGAGCTTTTAATATATTTTTTTAAATATTGCAGTAAATATTGAAAATAAATATAGCGTGATATATATTTTTGAGAAGCTTATGGCAAGCCAGATCATATAATTTATAAATATACAGTGTATTCCAATTAAGAAAACATAACTTTAATTCATATCTTTAAAAATATTATTTTTGTAGAATAACAGACAACGTCACTGTATTATACGTAAAAAGTTCTACCATAAACAATTTTCACCTTTTCGATACCTTTGGCAATAACAGAGATATAGGGGGTAGCACAAATTGCAAAATTTTCAAAAAGACCCTGTAGCTCAGAAACGAAGAGGGCTGTGAAAATTTCGTTTACGGCATCTTTTGTTTGACAAAAAAGTGGCAAAGGTTTGTGCAAACCGCACCCTTCTATCTTCACGAATAACGGAGATACCGTATGATTTCAACCAAAATGGGACACCCTGTACAGGAATGAACTGAAGATGATCACAATACATATAATAGGAGACTACAATTTTATGAGCAAATTATGCATTTACTTGGCAATATTACGGTGAACCCAAAAAAACATACTTTTTTTCAGTGACAATTCAACTTCCACGTTGAAAGGCCAGGTAAATCTCGACAAAACTGCCGTTATTGGGCAGACAGAGATCTGAATGAGGGCGAACTATACTCAATAACCAGAGAAATAATTTCAACGTTTGGGCGGGACTATACTCAACGAGGGCTGTCCCGCTGTTGGAATTACATCTACATTTCCTTAGCAGTCCCTGGCAGTCGTTAGCATTAGTCTTACGGTATCGGCAGTACTCTATAATTATATGGCAGACATATACAGTCTTCTTCGCAGTCATTGGCAGTCGCTTGGCCATAAATTTTATTTTGGCAGTACATGTAAATTTTTTACCCAAGTGACACCCCCCGATACTCAATGGCCAGAGAAATGACTTCAACGTTTGGGTATGCATTAGTGGTGACAAAATGTTATTAATATTAATTAGTAGTAATATCAATCTTAATCTAAATGGCCAGACGTACTTGCAATATTTAGAAGTAGCTTATTCGAAATCTGGCAATTTTATTCCCCGATCCACTTTTTAGAAACATTTCTGCATAAAAGAAATATCTGCTTTCTATAGAAATATTTTTTATATAAAAATATGAACAACTTAATATAATAATTGACATATTCAAGCGTTTTGGTTAAGTTCTGTGTTTGATATAACGAATTTATTCCTCTTTAAAGACTCACACTGTATTCCAACATTGCAAGATTTATAAACAAATACATCGTTTCAAATTTTTATGCACAACAAAGTGGGCACCTATTAGCTAGTTTAATAATATAATAGTTTTCCATTAGAATTTAATATGATTCTTGTTAACATACTTTAGTAGTGTATACGTTAATGTACAAGCAATCTTCTGATCCTGTTACATCTGACTCTTTACTAAGATTGCTAAAAACATTAAGTTGAGTACATTCGTCCTTATCGTAAGTCGCATTGAGTACACCATTCCATGCATCATTTTTAACTGGCGACTGCAAAGAAATATAAGTAATAAGAATCCAAAGAATATATTTTATATTAATAATCTTACTGCAAATCTTAAGTTGTCGATGGGTTTTTTAGCAAATGGTATACCTCTATATGCATAATAAGTTTTTCCCAATCCCACAGTGCGGTTTACGGTTCCTCTCACTTGTCCATCTTCAAGTGTCACAGTTGGACTGAGGTCCTGAGAAATAAAAAAAAATATCAGTAAACTGACCAAAATTAAAAATGAACTCGAGAAACTTAAGTATAGAAAATTTTTCTAGTTCATAAGTAAATACTACAAACGCTTGAAATATTTCCCCACATCAATTCTTTTCGAATAAAACTCGGTATTTACTTTACTGAACGATCGATGTATAATGAATGAATCCAATTTTTTCAGATAGTTTAATAGAGGTAAGTCATAAAATATATATTTTAGGAATATCGGTTAATCGAACGGTAATTGCATGGAACGTCATTACATCTATAACAATAATTAAGCAAAATATTGTTCGTTATTTTTTGTAGAAGGCATTAGACTTCAGTACAATTTCTTAGAATTCGACATGATACATAATGACGACATGAGTATATGATATGTTGGCAATTTAATGTCTAATTAGCCAAAAGCCAATACATGAACTTGGTTCAAAATAATTCTTAAGCTTGATTTTTATGCATCCGTTATCGGTTGATACGATGGTTTGACGGCGCTCTGATTGGTCATAGCGTTTACGCGCCACTTTTCATCGGTAAATTGTTTACTCTAACCCATCAACGGAGAAAGATTATACGATAAATGTCATTTGCTTTACTCTCGTGTGCTCTTAAGAACGTGTTCGCGTAATGAATTTGGAATTACTACTTTGTTTTCTATAAGAATACAATTTTGTTCTATTGATAATTCGTTTTGTCTTTTAAAAAAAGGTTTTACATTTTCTTAATTATTTACAAAATCTGGACATCCAAATATAGTTAAATCTCTAACTTTTACAAGTGTTAAGTCTTTATTTATTCCTTTAATAATTATAATAATATGTACCGGGTGCGTCTCAAAAGTGGTCACTCCTATAACTTTTTTATTTTTTCAGATAAATAATCCAGATTTGGTATGTTAGTAATATGACATAAATTAGGATGGATTGAAGTATTGAGTTGTTTTCGGTCACTTCCTGTTACACCGGAAATGACTACAACTTTTGATTGTTAAATGGCATCCTCGTATTTTTTACTTTATTCGATAGAAAATGACACTCTGAATAGAATGACATGTTATATGTAAACTTTTGACATTTTCGGATATGGTTTATTTGAAATTGCAACATACGATTTATAACGACAATTTGACTCGAAATAACAAGTGTGTGGTAGCAAATTATTCGTAAAAAAGCTTTTTCCTAATATTATAATGAGCCACTTTCATTCCATTTGAAAAAATTGAGATATGATTAAAATATATACGATTTGAGCATTTTTGACCGGTCAGAACTAGACACTAAAACATTAGACGATAAAATCTATTTTTTCAAGGCTTCTTGATTAAAAATTATTGTTTTTAACACAGCCATGGCCCTCTAGTTTGAAATTAAAATATAATTTTGTTTTAAGCGAATATGTCAAAAGTTGACATGTGGTATGTCATTCTATTCAGGGTTTCATTTTCTAACGAATAAAGTAAAAATATATAGAGGGTGCCATTTAAAAATCAAAAGTTGTAGTCATTTCCGGTGAAACAGGAAGCAGCCGAAGAGAACTGAATACGTCAATCAATCCTAATTTATGTTATATACTAACATACCAAATCTCATTTTTTTCCTCTGAAAAAGTAAAGAAGTTATAGGGGTGAGCCACTTTTGAGACGCACACGGTATAAAATTATCTGAAATTTTAGAACTAGTTTCTAATGGCAAACTAAATAGACTATCTGCGTTCTGCATTGCTAATATTTATACCTTTCTTATATTGAATATTGTATTCATAAGCTGACAATGTTACCTACTGCTCATCTAGTAATTCTTGCAGCAGCTGTAGTTTGGTTTGATCCAAAACTAAACTTTATTGGTTGATGATCAGTTATAATCATATCAGATTATAACTGATCAGATCAAAATAAATTTTCTAATTCGTAATGCAAAAATTATTGACAACGCCTCTATTTCGAAATTACTATAACGTACCGAGGGCTGACATTACTGTTTTTTCTCCATTTTCCGTTTTATGAATCCGTCAGATGTTACATAAATCGAATATTTAGGATTATAGTGACACTATTATTATACAGGGTGTCCCAGAAATGAGTGCAGATATTTTAAGGGGTGGTCTCTCTGGTCAAAATAAACATATTTTCTCTTTACCATTTTTAAAATAAATTGAAAATAACCGAGTTATTTAACTTTGAAAATTTAAAAAAATAATCGCAACATTTTGAGAACCGCCGGCAGATATCGCCAACTACATTCAATTACCCGGATCAAGCCCGGATTTCAGTTAATTCGACGCACTGTGTTGCCATAGGGACAAGAAAGTATATGTTAAAAGTAAGACATAAAATCACAACACCTGAGGAGTTTGCAGAGATGCATTACATTTTTAAGATTGTGATATTATTACATAAAATAAATTAAAAGTTAAATGTTTAATAATGTGTTAAAAAAGTTAAATTAATAAAAAAATAAAGCATAACACAGATTTTCGTAAACGTCATAAACGTAATGTTTTTGTTAATTTTCGGTGGTTTTTGTTAAGTTTTCATTGAAAGGGTAAGTACTAAAAATAATTAATGTGTTTTTTTTTTCTATAATTATTAATAATGAGCACTGAGAAAAGATTAAATTTAACATTCCTAATTTTTTGAGAAGAAATTTGTCTATGAATTTATAAATGTAGAACTATGTTGTAGCGTTTTTTAAACAACTACCACTGCGAACGGCAGCTTTTCATCGGAGAGCAGTCGTGGATAAGGTATTTCACTAGAGAGAAAATTAATCAATAATAATAAACAAAAGATATATAGATATTGGGCGCCAGGCATGTACAGAGAAAGAAAACACAGTTGTATAATACTTAAAACTAATGACTATATTTATTCGTGATGAATTCTGATGGTAAATAGCATTGTACAATTAATATAATTATTATAGTGGTTACTTGTTGAGTAAAACTATATATGTAAATAATATTAAATACGTTCTATGAAAAGACTATAAAGAAAATACAATGCGTGTAACGTTATAGAAAATATAGGAAAAGTAGCATTACTTTATTTAAATTGTTAAATTTATACGGTGTTAAATCAGATGTGTTGCAACCTGTAGATTCTAGAATCTATCTCGTTATTCATCTGTTAGTATAGCGTAATAATAATGTCTATAGAAAGTAATACTATTACAATGCGTGATATTATGAAATCTAAAATCTAAATCACACTTTTACTACTGCATCGACATAAATATCCTTAATAATCTAACCACTAAATATAGTCTGTACGCTATTGTTTAAAATGTACGTTACTGTTTAAGACTGAAAACATTTTAGATGTTAAATGCAAAACTAGAACTTAAATATACACTTAGCTGTTCTTTTATGTAACCCTGCTTCAAACAGTGCAGCGCGAGGAGGTCTAGCATCTCTGTACTGTCTGTCGGCGATCCAGGCTTAGAAATGGGGGTGAAGCAGCACGGGGCTCAAGCCACATCCACGCTGGGGCACTCTATGTGTAAGACAAATCAATCCTACTGGGGACACTTGTCCATGGGACATCCGTCCATAAGATAGTGGCACAAGAGAACACTACTAGGACCTTGAAAAATAGTCCATACCTTGGACACTTGTCCGTAAGACAATGTCCGTCCGTAAGACCCTAAGAACACGAAACTCTTGTTTAAAATCAAACACCGTCTAATAAACAAAATGAACCTACCTCGAAATACTTCCGAGGGCTCAATAAATAATAAACAATCTGTCCTTTCTTCCAAATGACATTCTGGAGGACAAAAGCAAAGGGACGCCAACGTGCCAGCCAAATACAAATACAAGTTGGGACATCCGTAACTCTACCCTAAAAATATTCACTAATAATATCGAATCTAAAAGGAAAATAACTCAGCTTTACCTGTAGCTTCGAAATGGCAGCTGATTCAGATAATACAGCCAGATTTAAATGACCACCATTTCTCAACACTGGGACTAATGGCGTCTAAGAGGCCAAACGGTCCAACCAAAAGTGAAGTTAGATCACAGAGAATTGACAGAAGCGATGTTGACAGCGCGCGCTCCGACAGAGCGATACCAGGGTTGTGTCAAACAATAACAGGGTTGTGCCAAACAATAACAGGGTTGTGCCCAGACATCATATATCATAATCAAAGACATGTAACGAACTAAAAACGTTACAATGTTCCGCCGAACTATGTAGAATGTGGATAACATAGGAGGTTGCAACACTGCAAGGTTTAGATACACCGTAGGGAAATCTCAGGTGAATAAACAAGTGGCACTAAAAAGTTTTTTCAAATTTCCCTGAAAATGTCAAGAAAAATTTTAAATTTTCAACATTTTTTTTTCGCAAAAAAAAACCTCATAGGCGTGTTTCTGGTGTTGAACTATACTACCAGTTAAAATATTTGCACTTATTTCTGGGACACCCTGTATATATTATAAGACTATGTGATGTTAATAATTTTTTGCTTAATTCAAAAGTTTCTTTACAATGTATTGACCAACGTTTTTTTAAATTTAAATTAGATTGAGACATTGGTTTTAATTTTGAGGATAACATGGCTATGCATTTACAATAATAATTAAGCAATCCTAAATAATAGTTTAGTTCTATTACAGATTTAGGTATAAAAGCATTTTTTATAGCTTTAATTTTTTTTTCTGATGAATACCATTAACATTGACAATATATTATCCTAAAACTTCTACTTTAGCTTGAAAAAGTTTACATTTAGTTTTATCTAGCTTTATTTTATAAAAAGCAAGCCTTTTAAGAACATTGGACGTTTTCAAAACATTCTTCTAAAGAAGATTCAAAAACTAAAATATCTTCTAAATAAGACTTAGTGCCTTTTAGGCCAGATAAAATATTGTCTATAACTGTTTTAAAAATACCTGGAGCTGAACTTATTCCATAAGTTAATCTAGTATAATCAAACAAACCTAAATGCGTGTTTATAAACATTAACTCGTGAGATTTAT